AGCCCAAAAATAAATGCTACATATCCATTCACTTGTAGATAGATAGCAGAACCATCTTAAATAACCCCTTATATAAACAGTTATCCCAGCTCCCCCTAGTACAATCCAAAGATTGTGGGCATAAGCATTCAGTGACTTGTTTATTTCTAGCTTTAAACAATGAGCTATAAGATGTTAAAATTCCCAGTAGAGCTGAGAGAAACTGCAGAGTTGGGTAATAAAGGTTAATCGCTGAGCAATACCTTTCACATTACGCACCCTCCCCTTCCAAGCACGAAGGAAAACCTACGGTGGCCACAAATGCACAAAAAAACGTGAATGCTCCTTGCTAGTGCCAGCATTCTGTTTGTTTGTCCCTTCTGGGCTACGGTAGAAACATGGTGGTTCAACATGGCGGACTCGGCAAGGTGACTCGGCATCACAGTTGTATTTTTGTGTTTGTGTGCTGTTTCAGGTTAAAGGTAATTTGAGTCTTTGCATTATCAACCCTCTTCTTTGTGGACCAAAATGCTAAACCGATATTGCCACTCCTAGAAAAAAAAGGAAAGAAAGAAAATTAAGCTGACTGGTGTAAATACTGATTGTATTGTATGTTTTTGCGTATGTACGCTGTTTTAGGTTCAAGGTAATTTTGCAAGAAGGAGTCTTCATTACACCTCTTCTTTGTATTTCCTGTATCATTTTGATCCTTTTTTTGATCATCAACTATTTACCAACCGACCTTGTTTTTATCCATTTATATCTACCTTGCAAAATCAGACATAAAACACAGGCTAATAAAGTATGAACAGATTGAGACTGGCCTTCAACATCTTCTTTTCAATTTCCATGAACATTATTGATTGAATTCTGCTTTGAATAGCCAGAGGGAGACTTTTATGTTATTGCTTTTTCTTCTTTCAGCCCAGATAAAAGGCCATAACATACAGAGCATCCTGTGTCACTGGAAAATGACATGTTGTGCAGAAAGGAACAAAGAAGTGCCTTACACTGACATGAACATTCAAGCGGCATAAATTCTGCACACAGATAAGGCTGCATGAAAAACAGCCTGTGTGGATTACACAAGTTAAATCAGACAACTTCACTGAAGATCATAGTGTGAAGGCTGCATCAACAAAACCCAATTCCCATCCAGAAACCCATACAGTATAATGGTTTTTGAAATATTGGCCGAGTGTCACCATGTCTTTACCCTATATTATTTCAAATACAAAAGAGTACAGTCATATAGAAACATTCTTTGCACTTTTAATTTAATTATTTAGTTTTGCTCAGGTTCAATAGCTTGTCTGCGTTTAAAAAGTTCGGAAACTTTAGGATTTCATCGATCTAGATTGTACTGAAGCTTATACTTTATGGACTTCAAAAAAACATGTAATTTTAGCCCTTTCTGAGATATTTGTCAGAGCAGTGTGTGGTCAGGAGGAGCAGTGTGTCTGTGACGCCACCGATGACCTTTCAGCCTCTCTCATCTGTTAAGCGTTGCTAATGCCACTCAGGACACCTGTTGTTGTCTTGACCCAAGCCATCTGAGTCTAAAGATCCTGCTCAGGCTGTGTAATTAACTGCTCATGTCACTCCTGTGTCACCTTACCAGCTTGACAGATACCGCTAAAGAGACAAGGTGGTGTAAAACCGTTGTCCATCTTCCATTTGCTTAAACCAAGACTGCAAGACTCACTGACTTATCTCACACGACCCTCATACACTTTTAGATGTAATTGCTGACAGATAAAACACAAACATTTGGAAATTAATTTTGCAGCAGGAATTTATTATTTATTTTCCACAGTTTCATTTATTGGCAAAGAAAAACATTTTCCAACACTTAGAAAACATTTAATGGCACTTAAGTCTCCATATGAAGGCCACAAGACGATATGGAAAATAACTGTTTAAGTGCTAAAAACAGAGATTACATTAAAAAAATCCAAAAAATTTCTGGACAGACACTAAATAATAAAGTAAACTACACATACGAATATTACAAATCACAAGTAAAAATATTTCACAACATTGATGCTATGAATATATTTTTCAACATGATTCACCATTTAAACAGGTTTTTGTTAAGATGGAAAAGGCAAGGAAAAAAAGCACTGTGATAAGCTCACTAGTATCACTGGTATCAGTTACGCATGCCAAGAATAAAGCTTTTACCGACAAGGTGAAGTTTTTGCTAATTCATACGTAAGTAGTATTTCCACAAGAGAAACAAAGTCTGTTGCACACATGCTCCAACTACCAGCCAGTAGGCGCATGATAGATAAAGTGTCAAAATGTACTTCTCCTGTTGTACTCCCCTTAAAAATGAGTGAACATGTCAGGATCAGATGTTTGATTGATGTTGGCTCTAAGCCCATTCCTTAGTTAAGGAATAGACACAACATTAGCCAGACCTTTAATCTTTTTTCTGCTGCCCGCTCCCACACAGCACGCAACACCAACTCACATGTCAACGGCAAACTGTCAGCTAGTCTGTCGGTCAGTGTATTTGTAGTAGTAGCGGTACATGCGTGCGTCTGTGCCGGACTAGACTGGATTTTCATTACTTTAAAGCTTGTGAGTGTGGAGGGAGGGGTGTGTGGGCGGCTGTGGGGGAGTATATTATGTCTTAGCACCGATACCTGAGGGGACCTTTTACCATGGAGGTGGGTGTATTGAAGCTTTGACGTACCTCAATCATGGTAAAGAAAGAACACATAGCTCTCTGATTGCCACCAGTCGATGATGGCTTCCAGCCTCCACATAATAACTTGAACTTTGGTGTGTTCCCACATTCAGTGCTACAGATCTAATTGTCAAAATCTTATGTGTCATGTGAGTGCACCCATTTCATTTCCCACCTGCCTCACAAATCTCAAATATCTCTCTGTGCAAAGCAGATAAAACAAAGTTGTTACACATCAATGTATAACATTAAGTCCATAAACTGCCTTACAGAAAAAGCAGACAATAAAAAAAAATGCTGAAAGGATGGAAACACCAGCTAATCTAAAGAGGTGAGACAGATTAGTTTTAAGCATTGGGCAGTCGCTCCTGACACACCTCCAAGGGCCGCTTGAATGCTCCCCTGCCAAACACTTCAACGTTGCTTGCTAGCCAGGAGATCACATTCCCGGGGATATAAGAACTGCAGTTAGCCATAGCCTGGACCTCGGCCGGCTTCAGAATGCGGTCCCAAATGTTCACTTGACTCAGCTCGCCCACGAAAGCCTGTCCGGCATCAAAGCGCCCGCCCACCACGTCCTGTAAGGGCCATAAACATGGGATGTAAATTTAAACAGCATCAACAACAACAATATTTGAGTAATTATCTAGGTGGATGATGCAGTTGGTGGGACTAGTCATTAAACTTTCAGGTTTAATGTGTTTTATTCCCTGTTCTATCCGATGCTGTAAATGTTGATGGCACCACATTTGTGTACAAGATGCCACTGGTTGGATTTTGATTAAGCTTGTGGAATTAAATATATTTCACTATTTTCTAAATTCTGTTAAGAAGACTAAAGAGACCATGCTTGTTCAATTAACTGAATGTCAGTATGTATCGAATTCTACAGTACACACACTATCAATGCATACCAGCAATGCAATACCTACATATCAGTATGTAGGATGCAGTATGCAGTGTGTATTGTGTACAGTTGGACTTTCAAGTGACCCTTATAACATCATCTGATCATCATCTCCCTATTTCGCTTATTTACTGTGCTAACACAGCCACGCTAGCAGCTTTGTAAGGCTGTACCTTTAGGCACAGTGGGTGAGCTAAATGCTATCATCATCATGCTACTATGCGCACAAGGACATGCTGGTGTCTAATGTGTTAACCATGTTCACCATCTTAGCTTAGCATATTAGCATGCTAACTTTTGGTAAGTAGAGTCTGACGGGAATGTCCTTAGTTTTCGGGTATTTGGTCATAACCCAACATGTGGGACAAATGTACAATTACGACCTTATGTTAGACCTACAGAAAAAGTCAGGGGGATCCGTAAAGGGTCTGGACCAAATTTTATGGCAATCTATCCAATAGTGATAGAGATATCTAACAACCTCATTGTGGCACTGAAAAAAAGTTAGTTTTGGTCAACTTTGATCTCATACTAAGACCTCATGGAATGGCAAAAGTTGGATGTTCCAACCATTTATCCATTACTTTTAGTTAATTATTTGAAATATTTATCCCTTACTTTTAGATGACAATTTAATCTGCTCTGCTTGTTGCTAACTAGTTTTCACACACTCTTAATTGCAGCAACACCTAAATTTATTGTTGTAACTGACTCATAAGTGCCATCAGCAGCAGTACCCCCCTGGGGTAGTACCCCTAGTTGGGATTAACTGCTCTGGGGACACAGATGGGAATACAACATTTCCAATTGATATAAAAAACCCCAAACATTAAATTGAATTAGAATTTTCTATATGTTGCTTTTCACACTGTTGTCAGTTATGTAACTAGAAAATGCCAAACAGTCTTCAAGCAATGTTGATTTAATTTCACACAGAACTTAACAGACTGCATCTCATTCCTCCTCAGACATTTTTAATAATGCTCAGATTGGTCCAGAGGGAGACCTCAGCATCTGTGGGCAGTGACAGGTTCACTGCTGTCTTGTTAATTGTTTTGTCATGATAACCTGCCACCATCTTATTACTGCTGCTTCAGGCCTGGTTGATTTTCCTGTTTCTATCCGCAGTTTGCAAAGATGCTCCATAAATAACGCTGTTTATTAGTAGAACTACTTGACATTGCACTTGAAGTGTTTGGCTTGTGATAATGCGAACATGCTGCACTACACAGTTGATGGTACATTGTTAGTTTTCTTCACTGTCTAAAAAAATCTTACTTTATATAGAAGAAAAGTAATTGAAGATGTAATTTCAGGTAAGTGGCTGCTTTCTTCGAACATGACAAAAGAGCTAGAATGATGACTAACGCTATAGACACAGGCAAATGTCAAACACAGACAGTCTGATCAGTCATTTTGTCCAAGATTTTGGGGTCCTACTGCACCTCCTTACCTGCTCCTGCCCCAGGATTATGACACCCCCAGGTTTGATGGGGTGCCATGCTGCCAGGTTGTCACCAGTCCCCAGTTTCGCACCATCTTGGTAAGCATCCCACTGGCCATCCCGTGTTGTCCAGGAGATGCAGATGTGGTGCCACCTTCCATCACGTACCTCCAAAGGCAACTGGGCAACCTGTGGTTAAAATACAGTGCACGCAGCTGTTGTTTGCCTTTACAAAAGCACATATCTAGTATGGTTGTTGAATCAAAAGAGAGATTTTAGTTGGCTGACATGAGGGTAGGGAACATTTTGGTATTTTCATTTTTATCATTTTATCATAAAACCATAAAGGTTTAGCAGATTTAGGACACCAGAATCTACCTACCTTGTCATTGATGAGCAGCTCTATTGGGTTGTTGCCCCATTCAATCAGCACAATCTCATTCGCTTGCCCTGGTACACCATAAGAGAAGGGCGTCCCTATGCCGGGAGTGGCGCTGGACTTGATCCACATGCAGAGTGTAAAGGCGTACATCTCTGGCAGGCTCTTGGTGATGCGGCCGTACAGGTAGTTGGTCCGCTGGGGGAGGGACAGCTTGAACTGCTCTGGGGACTTGAAGTCTCCTCCTCCTGTAATGAGAAAGGGAGAGAGAGAGAGAGGAGAGGAGAGGAGAGGAGAGAAAGGGACAGGGAAGTGAGAGGTGTCCCATAAACTTGTTAAACGTTGCCGGGGGATGAAAGCAGGGAAACAGCATCACATCCCTTTATGTTTTATATGAAGTCATGACTTAAAAGAGGCTCAACAAAGGTCCTTTTTGTGTAAAAAGTGTGCACGTCTGTCACCATCTCTGATTCATCAGACCCTCTCAACTCTTTTATACCCCTGAGTGCCTTCCTCTGCCTCCTCTCCATTAGTATAGTAGATGTTCACCAGGTTGCTTTATGTGCCCTCATATGTGTTTTCCCTCTGTGCGGCACCAAGGTATCATTTTCCTCAGTGTACTGTGTGCTGGTTGTCCCCAAACCCATTGAAACAATATTTCATTTTGACTTTATCTGTACATTTATGATGATGCACATGCAGCGTTGCAGTACCTTTCTCCAGTTCACTGATCCTCTCCACCAAGGCGTTCAGCGTGCTCTCCGTCTTCAGCCGGTAGGCAGCTGTGGCGTTGGACAGCATGCTCTTCTCCTCCTCCAGGTTGCTGACTTTCTTCAGGAGCTGTTTCTCCAGCTCCCCGAGGCGACGCTGCAGCAGGTCACGGAGCTCACTGGGGAATGAGGCGCCTGAGACGTTGGCCCGCATCTGGTGTTGCTAAGGAAGGATGGACAGGACACCATGAGCAGGAAGTACACAGAGATAATCAGGGACAATGAGCCCCCGGAGAGCTGCTAATATTGCCCTTTGTCATTCTTCTTTTGAGTGACAGGCCTGCAAATATAGTTTCAGGGGTGGAAAACATTTTTGGAAGTTGACATCTACTGTGTGAGGTTTTGGACAGTTTTCACATCCTGTTCTTTGATGATTTTAGTTTCATAAGTATGTGACATTAGCTGTGGCAATAAACCCACTCCAGCAGGTGCCTTCCCAGTAATGATAAAGTATGAGGGCATCATCTGTGGCTAGAAATAATGACACTTTGCAACTGCTTATTTTAAGACTGTGAGGAAGATATTGTTTATGCTTTTAAAGCACTAGTCAGCAGACACGCCCAAGAAGTTGTTACACAATCGGCCCCTCGTAATGGGAAGTTTAAGGCCAATCAGACACAAGTAATCTCTTTCCGACAGATTCCTCTGTTTGATCTCCATGATACAGCACTGTAGTGATTCTCAGCGATGCCATTCTACTGCTGAGCAGTGAGTCAACACTGTGTCGTAACGTTAATCCTATAAATCTGTACCGAGAATCAAACTGTGCTTTTACGCATGGCTTTGGCACAGGACGTATGGTTTTGCGCAATTAATGCCGACTTACCTCCAAGTTTTCCAACCGGTCCTTGAGCCCCTGCATGGTTTTTCCAAGGCTGTCGATGGTGTCATTTGGATCTCTGGGAACATCTCCCATTGTATTTTGCTTTTCTTTGCCCCAGGAACCCCCCTTGTCGTACTTCCTATCGTCGGTGGCTGAGGCGCAGAGGGACAGCTTGGTGGTTAGCTCATTAATGGTGCCTTGCTGTTTGGAAATGTTTTCCTTCTGCTGTAAAATTGTCTCTCGAAGTTGCATCACAGTGTTTCTGAGCTCCTCTTCCTGGCTCCCGGCGTTTAGCTCGGGTAACAGTGTCACAGGGCAACTGGCATCGCCGCTGAGGGGTATAGCCCGGCAGATGAACCGCTTTCCATCGTCCGCCTGGCCGCTCGCTAGTTGACTGCAGCCCAGCGCACAAAAACACAACAATCTGTAGAAGAGTGAAAACATAGCGCCGGCGTTCACCATTAAGGAAGGTCCAGGGGAAAGTGATAACCCAAACACTAAACCCTTAACACTCTCTAACGTAATCTACTCTCAACTTCAGTGCGTAAAAGTGTACTCCAAAATGAGTCTACCCCAAAAAACATCACATATAACTACTTCTACAAAGTAGCACCATGCCTAAGCAGCAAAATCAAGTAAATTCTGAGCGGAAAATCCGATCAAGGGAGACTCGGTCACTGTAAGCCCGGTTAATGTGGCTTGTGTTACTGGGACTATTCCTGGCACCAACAGAGCAGCATAGTATGGTGCTGATCGGACAGCTCCTCTTAGCAAAGAGGATTATCAAAAAAAGGTGTCTGCAGACGCTCCCGGATTGGTTGTAGTAGGCTGACGTCACAGACCAGCTGGGTCAAACATGTGTTTATTTATTTTTTTGGAAAGTTAATTAAGCAATGAAGACTGTGAGTTCGTTGATTAAACGATGATTAAACAGCGATTAAGCTGATAAGAGGGTGCCACAAGGATTGGTGCGATCATTTTTCTCACTGACTAGTCTGGTGCGCGCTCTCATTGGTGCCAGCAAATATCAGGCTTATGCTTAAATTACAACCAAGGAAGAAAAGGTTTAATTTGGCCTTCTGCATGCTGAGCAATGTGGTGGAAGCAGATATGTTTGCAGCTGCAGTTAGGTGTTACCTTTGGTGGTTGTGCTTGAACTAATACACTTATATACATCCATTTTTATACTTTCATAATAATAATAATAATAATTATAACTTAAAGAGACATTTTAACATAATCTAATCTGTAACCTATTAAGCTAAATCATAAGGTTATTAGTCCCTTTTTGTTACCTATAGAACACCAAGTGAAAAGTATGATTTGTCCTGTTATGTCACAGGATGTTTGAAGAAAAAGAAAAAAAACTCTAAATGGCAGATTTGTAAGCAAATAATTTATTGTGTTTGAAATCTGAGGAATATACGCTGACCCTTGACATTTATTCAACATTATACATAACAAGCACTTACACTTTGGTTTCAGTAAGGCATCAATATAGATTCAACACCTGTGCCTGACAACATTTCACAGTTCAGACGTCTAAGTGCTGTGTACGGTAATTAGATCATAAACTAACAACAAAAACAGAAGACAATCATTCGATAAGACCAGTCAAGTAACATTTACTCTAGTAAAGAACAGTAAGAACAGATAGGCAAGTAATTATAATATATAACCATTTACAATACATTTTAAAGAGTTCTACCCAGATACATTTAAGGCCAGTATTACAAGTTTCCCCAGCCTTCTAAAACATGATAAATCATTCTAAATGCAGGTGACTTTCTCCAATAAAGCAAGCAGTGAGGAAACAGGATGTGGTGGTAAACAATTAGCAACAGCCTGCCTGGCCGTGAAAGGTCAGTACAGCCTGGTGTGCAGACTGGAAGACATACCACTGTGCTTTGAACATGGCGTCCAACCATGCTCCAAATCACAGTCAGTCAGGGGTGTTGTTATGACAGTAGAGGAAGTTTAATTTTATTCACTGATGACACATTGTTCAATTTTTGTGTTTCGAAACAGCGAGGAACTCAGCGGTAGGAATTCTCATTTTCTCTAAATTAATGATTAATTGAAGTCACGTCAAGAAAAACACAGTGATTAAATGCAAAGTTGTTTCTTTATCAAAAGGCTTCCGAGCTTAAAAGCAGTTTCAGACTAACATCAGCACACTGTTATCAATGACTCATATCGATTAAATATTTCCAAAATCCATCAGGTTCTCCTCACCTACTGTGGCATTGTTTTTCAGCCAATCAGTGTCCTACGTTGTAACTATTCTGCGCTTTGAATTAGAAATGTGTTCATTATCAATAGTGGAAGTAGTATTCAGAGCCTTTATAAACATTATCAGATAGTAATGAGGCATTGAAATATTCGATAATTTGATAATTTCAAATCTTTGGGCCCTGAACAATGTTTTGAAACCACCAGAGAATTTTAAAAGGAAAGATCTCTTTAGTAGAACTCTTAACAACTCAGACATCTAAAACATGCCAAGAAATGATGGAACCATTATGTAAAACATTAACTTGGAAGTAAGTAATCACTGTGGCTGGCAAATACATCTGTAAAAAGTATAATGTTTTCCTCTGAAATGTGGTAGGATGTAGCATAAAATGGAAATATTAAGTACAAGTATCCTACGTCAAAAGTGTACTCAGGTAATGCTAAGAAAGGGGCTTGTTCCTAATCCCCAGGTAACACAACTATCCACACTCTAGATGGGGACTCACAGCAGAGATTTTGAATGATGTAGGTAGAAAGAAAGAAAGAAAGAAAGAAAGAAAGAAAGGAAGAAAAGAAAGTGACAGGGGCAGGATCTGGCAGCAGTGAGTGACCATCAACACCTTCAAAGGTGCAAAGCTTGTGCAAACCAATTACCATCATTGCTGACTGACTCTGCCTCCTTCGGTTAAACACAGAATATTTTACTCTGGCAGCTCATTTTCTTGTTATAGAGAGACCAAAGGTCTCCAGCCAGTTTCCACGTAAACTCCAGCTGATTAGGAAAATAAAAAAACCCCTTAAATTACATTCGGGACAACCCTCATGAAACTAATATTTCCAATAACAACCATATTCACAAAGCCGGAGGACTGCCTGGCTTTTACGAGTCTTTTACACATTTTATCTGCCCGGTCCACAGAGACCCTCATTTTGCAGATGGGTAAAAAGAGTGAATGTGCATCGGAGCTTTAGATGCATGAATAGATTTTCAGGGTATTGTTGATGTTGAGGCTCAGTCTCAAGGAGAGTGCACTTCTTTCTATATGAGAAATAATGCCGGGGTGATCCAGCTTCATCATAAGGGCATCAGCAGCCGCAGCAGTGCGCTGAGAAAACACAAATTTAATGGACAGATGAGTGGTTTTGGAAAGCTGGAGAACCAGTGTGTCATCCACTCTCCCCTCTCAGGATAAAGCCCCTGTCAGGAAAGAAAAAAAAAACCCACTAATGAAACGAACAGGACAGTGCAATAAGCCTGAGACAAACATCTTTTAGCAGATCATTATTACTTAGGGACCGGAGCCAGAGAGAGAATGAGAATGCCACATTGTATGTCAAATTACCTTTTAGATTATATACGACATTCACTGAAAGGAATATCTCATTCTACAGTCTTTTGCCAGTGGGTTCACTCTATGGAAGGAGGAGGCTGTGAAGGAGAGAATTATGAATTAAAACCCATTAGCAAAGCAAGTGGGCAGAAGACAGGTTTGATAGATCAGGCAGGATAAATAATGAGCATCTTTCAACCAGATTTCATTATTCCAAAAGCTATTAAAACAAGCATTATGAAAGGAAATCTCAAGCTTTGCTGCCATACACATATGACGTAATATAGTGACAATGAAACTTGGGAGCAATCTTTAAAATGAGCACGAAAGGATATACTATTGATTTTAGATAATGGCTGATTTGCCTATGTGACTGGGCGACTTAATGCAAGAAAGAAGAAGAGTCTAGGCGGGATGAATGAAAGCCATAAGCCAATAAAAATCTGCATTTTTTGGCACCCATTCTCTCAAAAATCTCTTAACATTAATGAAAGAACAAATTACAAATACAAAACAATAAAACACAGTCATATATTTAATCATATTTAATACCATTTTTAACCATTTTTTTCTTAACCATGCATAAGACTGTAGTTTCTTGAGCCTTATCCCTACAAAAGAATTTACTCCCTATACTCCAGACTCCTGACTCACCTGTAGGCCTCCTAATGTGTCATTCTCTAGCACTGCCCCAGTCTTATGTAAGTCTGAAAATAATAAACTCAAAAGATAAAGATCTCAGACCCATTTCCTGTGTTCCAATCCTCTAAAAAAACACATAGATTCATACCAGACATCAGATAAGAAAATGATGTGAAGTGCCATGTTTGCAACACTTCATGCCAACTTCATTACATTGTTTTATCATTCATAAAGGGTTGGCATTATGTTTGTTTTACTTAAAACACTGAACATTTCAGACCTACTGTCTCCTTCAGTGGGTTGCCATCTTGTGGTAAAACCAATCCACGCTATGAAGAAATGAATTAAAACAATGAATACATTAACTGAAACCTATTCCAGTGTTTTTCAATATCATGGCCAGTCCATTATAATTCTTCAAACATCAGTTATTATCCATTAATATTTAAATAGCTTAGGTTGCCATGTTGTGAAATATCCCTCTGACTGGCGGTATTCCTCCTCCAGCATTACACTTGCTGTTGACTTATTTGTGTATTAATTATTTTATTAACTGCCACTGCAGAATTGATCATAAAAAAGAGACCCATTAACTTTTATTAATGAGGAGAGACAACAGCAAAGAGGATTTTTCACAACCTGGCAACCCCAAACGTGTTCTATCAATTTATAGCTGATCTATAAACCATTAGTAAAGGTTTTATTAACTCTCAATAAAGGCATTAGTCAGAACTTATGGGCGACACGTAAACTACACCAAAACGATAACAGAACTGAAAGATAAGCCTATACATACATATAAGTATATATGCATGGCAAAGTTAGCAAGGCCAAGTTGCACAAGCAAATCCATGTTAGTTTAGTTTATAATATAAGAAACAATGAATGTATAGTTAGCACAATAATGCAATATATGTTGAAATGCTTTACACACTGCACTTGGACACAGCACTTGTTTCCCAAAGGGTACTACCCATCGATGTAATATACTCCCTCCAACCAGCATGCGCAGATACCCGCAAATTTACTTCCTCCTAACAATCCTGCGAGCCTGAAGACCATCGAAAACGATGGTCTTATATCCACTGGTTTTCACTGTGTATTGTTCCGCTGGTACTAGAATCAAACGTTATGACCAATAAAACAATTGTTATTAAATTGAACATCGATTGTATTCCACTTCTGCATATATGTATGTCACGCAAACATTATGACACTGTACTTATACATTCATAGGAAGAATATTACATGTAATACGCGGAGGGATATCACACGTCTTCACTGGTCGCAAGCCCGGAGCAGCAGCGCGAACGCGGCGGACACAGAGCGACGGTTTCCGGTCTGTGGAGCTGGTGAGTGCAAACGGGTCGCTTTTTTTAAAATGTGGAGAAATAGCAGGGCAGCATAATGTGTACGAGTAGCGTTTGAACGGGTTCTTGTTTGAGAAAAGGTGCTTTCTCTTTGTGGCTTGTGTTTATTTTCTCTCAAACAGAGTTTAACGCCAGGGGATGCGCGAGCGCTTTCTTTCTCTGGGAAAGCTAGCTTGTTAGCTAACGGTTGCTAACGTGTTCTGGGAAATTAACAGTATATTTGCCTTTTGAAGATTTGTTGCGCGCATGAATACGCGTACAAGGCCTCTTAATGATAGAATGGTTCCAATTCTGACCCCAAAAACCCTGTTTTTAATTCACAAATACTATCGGAAGTGTACAAAAACTGTGCTAGCTGATGCTTCTAATGATGTCATCACTGTGCGCCTTTCGAGAGGCATGTTTGTGTCTGTTACCGGTTTGTTTGTCAAATGTTGTCATTTCTCCCTAACGACGCTCAGTGTCATACACGTTCAGCAGATATAACCCACAACATGACTGTTCTTCATTATAACCGATGACAGCGGATCTCTTTGTTTCCCTCTCGTTCCTGCAGCGTAGATGAGAGCACACTGAGCTCTGTGCAGACTGCTGTCTGCCCCCTTTCCCCACCGCAACCCTGTCTGTCCCAGGTGCCACAATGGCCTTCGTCCCTGCGCCCAGTCCCACGGTAGTCGACCAGACTACGCTCATGAAGAAGTACCTGCAGTTTGTGGCGGCGCTCACAGACACCAACACACGTAAGTTTGTATCCCTCAGAGTGTATCGCTAGGCATGAGTAATCTAGACAGAAGTGACAGAAAACCACCCTGAAATGATGCAGCAGCTTCAGAAATGATCTGTATTTAATTGCTTTTATAGCATTGAAGCAGATTT